CCGGGGGCCCCGTCTGGCCCCCAGGCCTGAGGTCGACTGCCTGTCGGTGCCCCCCCCCTCCGTTGGAGCAGATGAGTGAGATGCCTGTGTAGTGCTGGTCTCGGTAACGAAGGGACAGCGCCCCTTCCAGACTCCAGGATAGCGGAGGCAGGAAGGAGGGGTCGCCGCCCAAACCCAATAGCTTCAGTCTCTTCCGAGTTTCTTGCTTTTCTGACCTTCTCCCATCCATGGGCAAGCAGCGCGTCGGTGCCCCCCCCCTCCGTTGGAGCAGATGAGTGAGATGCCTGTGTAGTGCTGGTCTCGGTAACGAAGGGACAGCGCCCCTTCCAGACTCCAGGATAGCGGAGGCAGGAAGGAGGGGTCGCCGCCCAAACCCAATAGCTTCAGTCTCTTCCGAGTTTCTTGCTTTTCTGACCTTCTCCCATCCATGGGCAAGCAGCGCGGCCCTCTCCCAGATGCCTTAAGAAATCCCAACTGAAACAGGAAGGGTGAGGCCTGGCCTGACTCCATCTCCTCAGCAGCTGATTCTCTTCTCTCCTCTGTCCCTTGCAGGTTGAAAACAGCTTTTCTATTTCTGTCCCTATCTTCAAACAATTCCATAAGAACATCATTGGGAAAGGAGGTGCTAACATCAAAAAGGTGAGTTGGTTGCTGGCCCTCAAGTCTGAGTCCCTCTGCCCCTCACTCCCACCTGCTTGGCAGTGCAATGGAACCTTCCCAAGCGTCACCTCGGGCCCGTTGGTTCTCGTTGCAGATCCGCGAGGAAAGCAACACCAAGATTGATCTCCCGGCGGAGAACAGCAACTCGGAGACCATCATCATCACTGGCAAGAGGGCCAACTGCGAAGCTGCTCGCCACCGGATTCTCTCCATCCAAAAAGAGCTGGTAACGGGCTAGACATGGAACACGGGCCTGACACAACGTTGACTTTAAGTCCCCTTAAATACACAAGCAAAGCAAACCAGTTTCTCTGGAGAAGCTAGTCTCTTGTGTGTTGGTTTCATGGCATCAGTGTTGGCATGCTTAAGATGGGAGCCCAGCTTTTCAGCAAACGAGATCTGGGGTCCTTTCCCGAGAGGGGTTTGTCTTGGCAGCTTCTTTAGGCAAGTCTGTATCCAGCTTGCGGGGATGATACTAAAATGCCTGTTAAAGACAACTGCACTCAAGGAAAACGTTAAACAAATTCTTGAACATTCAGAATGTAAAGAGTGCTAGCAAGGGAGCCTCTTCATACAGAGGATGCTTTAATCCACGACCAGTTTCTCCAGATATTTCCGAGGACCCGCGTCCTCCAACCATAGCAAGCATAGCCCGTCCCCAAAGGGGGTAGAGATCCACCTGCCTAGCCCTGAGAGCCTGTCTAAGGCAGACCCGTCCAGACTACCGTTTTCAGTGGTATGTCGTGCAGCCACTTGTCTCCGGGTGCACGTCTTCTCAAATCCCACCCATGCTTCTGACCAGAGTCTGTCTGACTGTCTCTTCTGAAAGACGCTTCATTCACCAGGACCCTTCTGTGCCCAGCTCCTCAGAGTCATGGAGGTCATGTGTGCAGTGCCCATCATTGTGCCGGGAGACTGGCATGTGCTGCTTAGCAGATGTCCCAGGCCCCCTGCTCAGATGTGCTTTGTATGGTCCTCTCCCAGCACTGAAATCCCAGTAGTCTCAGTATTTGGGATGGGCAGAGGTCTGCTCCCCTCCCCTCCCCTCCGCGGCTTGCCACGCAGGGTGCAACCTTAACCGCCTGGCCTCTTCTCCTAGGCCGACATCACTGAGGTGGAGGTCTCCATCCCCTCCAAGCTGCACAACTCCCTCATTGGTGCCAAAGGTCGCTTCATCCGCTCCATCATGGAAGAGTGTGGTGGGGTCCACATCCACTTCCCCACAGAGGGCTCCGGAAGCGATACTGTCACCATCAGGGGCCCTGCCCAGGATGTGGAGAAAGCCAAGAAGCAGCTGCTGCACCTGGCAGAGGAGAAGGTAAGCCCTGTGACAGGTCAGCCCTCAGCGTTGGGTCAGTCTCCCTCCGTGCCTCACCGCGGGGGGAGTGCATAAGGCCAGGCCGCTGCCAATTGAGCTCTGGGCAGAGGCTCGTGGCTGCAGTCCGAGAGAGGAGCCTCCTCTTCTCTTCCTTGCCTCCTGCCTCCCATCCCGGGGCATCCTGCATTTCAAATCCATCACATCCCCATCCCCCTTCCCGCCATGCTCCGATCCTCTCCCCTAGCCTGGAGGCCCCATGCACTCCAAACCCCTGGGTCCCACCCCCACCACACATTTTGTTACGTGCACCAATATTGAGGTGACGTGTCTGTGACGGGCTGGGTCTGGGCACAGCTGAGGGCATCCGCTCAGGGCGAATTGCTCAAATCCAGGGCTCCTTACAGCCCCCAGACAGGAGACCTTCCCAAACAGGCCACACACCAGTCCCACAGAGCGCTTCAGCAGCCTGCCTGAAGCCTCCCGAGCAAAACCCCTCCGACACCCCAGCAATATCCATGCCCCAGATGGCCCCGGGCCTATACACAGGTGGGGGGTCCTAGCACCCAATCCCACCTACCCGGAACAAGTTCTGTCCGGTCCCAAGAAACTAGCCACAGATCCCTGGTCAATTTATCCTCTGGACCTTACCCACAAATCACGCTCAGCCAATCCTTTAGAATCTACCATCTAAGGGTTTATTGCTACAAGAAACTTTAGCAACCTTACTCTCATTGCTTTTCTATCCTACATTACATGCATCGAATCTCCCAGTTCTCAATGCAGGCTCTAGCAGAGATGTTACAGCTGCTGGCTTAAAAGTCCTTGTTGCACATCCTAGGTCAGGATGGGTCCACAGTTCTTTCCGGCTCTTCGATCCCTGTGCTGCTGCCTCTGGGATGAAGTGCTGAGCTGAGTACCAAGATGGAGTCAGCCACATGGCATCTTTATACATCCTTCCTGGTCTCTTCTTGGCCAGGTGACCTGCCGCAGCCAGCGGCCTATCCCTGTGTTCCCTGCTGGTAGCCTTTAGGTGTTGGTCACCATTCACGAGGTGTGTCCTTGGCCCATTGAGTGCCATTGTCCCACAGGGCCTCGCTAATTAGTACGTCGCTAGGCCGGGCTCTGCCCAATGTTCAACCACCTGCAGAGAAATATTCAGTATCCATACAAAGTACATGCTTATAGCGTCACACACAGACATTATACAATCACATGACCAGCGTACATAGGATTAGCAGACAGTGAGCTACTATTCAACACCCCACATGGCCCCTTTTATACCATTTTTGGGGCCAACACCCCCCCATGGGTGCAGCCGTGATCTGGCTGCTTCCCTCCAATTCAGTAACGTGACAGCGTCCTTACTGGTGAACCTAGCAAAACGCATTCCACGTGTGCATGGAGCCGCGTTCACAGGGTCTTCGTGCTTGTCCTGCTAATGCAGTCAGAACGTGGTACCACCGCTGCTAGGACGAGGCACGTGGCTCCTGGTGGCTTTCCAGCCAACTCGGACTGGCCTCCTCGTCTGACGTGCCCTTTGGCTCTGGCTGAAGGGTTAGAACTTTGTGCCCATGTGTCTCTACCCCTTGCTCTGAAATAGAACCACTGCTGTGCGACCAGAGTTGGTCAGACCCAGAGAGGTGCCGCTCTGGCCTTTGCCCAGGCCTGCACGTGCCAGTCCGGGGCATCGGTTTTCACATTCCTCGGTGTAATTAAGGCCTCAGGTGACAAGGCGTTACCCCAAGGTGCACGACTGGCTGCCGAGTGAAACGGCTGTGTGCTCAGACCCTGGGCCAGGCCCTTAGCTGGTTGGTGGCGTGACACTGGCTTCTCCTGCAAAGGGGCCAGGCTGTTCTCACTCGCTCCGGCTCCCGTCTGCTCTTCTCACCCGTTAATCCAGCAGGGCTGCGCTGTGCCATGTCCCACCTCCCAGTGCCAGGGTTAGATGCCTGGGAATGTGGACATCTCCGATTCTCACACCGGGCTGCTTTATGGCAGGCGTTTCTCTGAGGGTGAATTGGCGGCGCTTGCATTGGGTGCTCACTCGGGTGGGGTTGACTTTCACTAGCAAACCAAGAGTTACACCGTGGACCTTCGTGCCAAGCCTGAGTACCACAAGTTCCTGATCGGCAAAGGCGGTGGCAATATCCGCAAGGTGCGTGACAACACGGGGGCCCGCATCATCTTCCCGACCTCCGAGGACAAAGACCAGGAGCTGATCACCATCATGGGGACCGAGGGGGCTGTCAAGGAGGCGCAGAAGGAGTTGGAGGCACTCATCAAGAACCTGGTGAGGGCGGCTTCCTCCGTTCCCTTGTCTTCCTCCCTGTCCTGTGCCCGCCCGTCTGGGGGAGCGGCCTGGCCCAGGGCGAGGGGGCCTGGGAGAGGCTGGGCTTGGTGAAGAGGGGTGGGCACAGAAGAGGGGCGTCCCACGCCGTGAGCGAGGGCAGGGTTCCTGCCTGCGAGTAGAGTGCAATGACTAACCGCTGCGGCCGTGTCCCCTCCTCGCAGGACAACGTGGTGGAGGACTCCATGGTGGTGGATCCCAAGCACCACCGCCACTTTGTTATCCGGCGAGGGCAGGTGCTCCGGGAGATTGCGGATGAGTATGGGGGTGTGATGGTCAGTTTCCCTCGCTCTGGCACCCAGAGTGACAAGGTCACCCTCAAAGGAGCAAAGGACTGTGTGGAGGCAGCCAAGAAACGGATCCAGGAGATCATTGAAGACCTGGTGCGTGTCCCAACAGGCTTGTTTTGGGAAGCAGCCACTCTCTTACGCGTGTCAAGTGCTGTGTCTGTACCCCCCCCCCCCAAGGGCTCCCCACTTTACCCAGTCTGACCTAAGGAACCTGGGGCCATGTGACCTGCCACAACGGAGCTGGCAGCCTGAACCTGGATCAGATCCTAGGAGGTTGCAGTCCAAGCCCCGTGTAGACCCTAGCCTGAGAAAGGGGTCTGTCTGGGCAGACAGCTCTTCCCTGGGCCAGCTCGGGCAGTGGGTTTCTTCTGGGCCAAGACTCTGCTGTGTCTTTCCCGTACCCTTCTGGGAAACGCCACTCAGGAACTGGAGTAACGGAGCTGGCAGCCTGAACCTGGATCAGATCCTAGGAGGTTGCAGTCCAAGCCCCGTGTAGACCCTAGCCTGAGAAAGGGGTCTGTCTGGGCAGACAGCTCTTCCCTGGGCCAGCTCGGGCAGTGGGTTTCTTCTGGGCCAAGACTCTGCTGTGTCTTTCCCGTACCCTTCTGGGAAACGCCACTCAGGAACTGGAGTCCTCCACTCGGCCGCCACCTCCCCTCCACTGTAGACACACGGGCGGGGGTGGAGGTCCTGGACTCG